AAGGAAGGAAGGAAGGAAGGAAGGAAGGAAGGAAGGAAGGAAGGAAGGAAGGAAGGAAGGAAGGAAGGAAGGAAATAAATTATAATGAAAGGGAGGGAGGGAGGGTCTGAGGGAAGTCCTGCCTTAGCACTTGGCCACCACAGGTACCCCTGACATGAGTGATGTCGAGCCACGTCTACCCTGGCCACGCCTACCCCCCCCCCCAGGTCAAACACAACCCTGATGCGGCCCTCAATGCAATAAAGTTTGACACCCCTGATCTAGGCAGTCACCAAGAGTCAAAACTGACTCAAAGGTACAAACAGACAAACAATATTAATGGCAAGTGATAAGTAAACTTGTTCTGAGGCACTTAACAAAATAGCCAGGGTAAACTTTTTAAACTACTTTCCAAACCATCATATCTCATTACAATTATGTTTTTTAACTATTATAAAGTTATCCTCATACTGTAATAAATTAAATAATGTAATGTTAATCAATAGGTAATTTTCAATGTATTTTGGATTTTGCTGTTCATGGAACTGTTGATAAGAATTGTGTATTTTAAATCAAGATCTGTCTGATTCTAAATCATCTCTGAGCAGTTCGCAATAAAAACATAATACTGTAGAAAGCAAATAAACAAGGTGGGATCTGATAGCTCAATACAACACGAATTCAAGAACACAACTAACAAGGGGCTCCACCCAAGGCCTAGGGAAATACCCTGGTTCTTAAGGCCTTCTGGAACACCAAGAGAGTTGCCTTGCAGTTCTTAAAGTATGTATAAGTACATATCCCGTGAGAAAACATGATATCTCCAAAGGGGAAGTTTATTACAAGATAGGCAATAAAAAAGAATAAACTTACTTTTAACTTGTCTTTAATAATCATTTACAACTCTGACCAAATCAGCCAGGCTTAGTTTCATAGGTGTCCATTATCAGATATATTCTCTTATCCCTCTTAATAGTTCTCTTCCTACCTCTAAATCTGGAAAAAACAACAGACAGCGATAGTCCCAATGAAAAATGCTGTGCAGATAAAAGATTCTTGCATGTACTTAGAGTACCTAGATGGACATCAACATATTCCTTGGGATTTCTGATACATACCTAGTAATCCTTACACTTAGCAGTCGGCTTCTTCACTTCCAGAAATATTAACATTGATTTAAAACAAACCAACCCTGTGCTTTATTTTCTCACCATCCTGCCAGTATGGGGGCTAGAGTATGTACATGCATGTATTGTCTGTGACAGGGAGCTGAATGTGTTAACAGCTGCACTCACAAATCTGTTTAAGTTTCCAAAAACATTTTTTTCAGTTCCCTTAAATGAGGTGCCTCTTTAAAACAAAGTCTCTATTAGTCATCACATATAGTTGTGTGCTTAACAGGCAGGCGCAGAAAAGTTTTAATTAGTTTGTGCAGGGAGATGATTTGTAATACAAATTGGGGGAAATCATAATAGCTAATTTGTGAAAGGAAACTTTACAGGGAAGAAAAAAAAACCCTGAACTATATAAAGAAAGAGTACAGAGTTTCTGTTATAAAGATGAATAATTAGTTGTCATTAGAAAGCCTTCTCCAATTCTCTGGCCAATATGGGCCTGCCTCCAAATTTACAGAACTGAAATTTAGAAGGTACTCAGTTTGAGAAAAAATGGTTTAGGGAATATAGTTTAAGCAAATCCACCTTTGGGTGAAAATTAGTTAACAGAATTCCTATGGTTCCAGAAGAATTAACTGAACATTGTACCAATGCATCAAAAATACATGATGGTTTCATACGAACCAGTCAGTGAAATTATCGGATATGAAATCTGCCTCTTTCCTAATTTCCTGAATGTGTTTCTTCTGCATCCAGAAGAATGGAGACCAAATGTGCTTAAAAAGTGCAGAGGAGAGAGCAGCAGCCTGGCACTAGGTGGCGCTCCCCTTCCACCAACATAATTCAAAGAAACGCCACAGGAACCCTGTCTGAGAATTGCTCCAGGTGGTTTTTGAGCAGATTTTTTTTTATTTTTCAGTGCCTTCCCCATAGACTATACAGAAGCCATTTAGCTGAATTTATCATGGTATCATCAAAACAAAATGTTTACTTTGAGAACTCTGAATAGTTTCTTTCTGTCAGCAGCTAAGTAGTAATTTCAGCATGTATCTTCTCCATTATATTTACCAGGTTTATCTATTATTATAGAAATAAGAGCAAAAAAGTCTCATGAATTAAAGTTTAAATAAAGTAATAGATTATTAGGAGTTAGAAATAACTTTGTTCCTATGAGCCTATTAAGTTATAGTGTATAAAATAACATAATAAATCTTTATGGCATTACAGAACTTGTTTCCACTGTGCAGTTTGTCTCTCAAATGAGAGGAAAAAAATCCTCTTCTAATTATGACATCAACAAACAAGGAAGTCCTAAATAAATAATGAATAATCATTCCAGTAATGCTGAAAAAAAAAGCCAAAATGTCATCAAGATAGTTAAAGAAAACCAGTAGTTTCTAATTCACTCATTCCCCACGTTTTCATTACATGCATTCCTACGAAAGACTTTTTCCTAGCTTATTTTCTCTACAAAAAACAAGGGAGACTTAAAAAAGAACCAGTAGTGAAAAAGTGATGAATTTCAGAGGAACATGAGTCAGAAATATTTAGTTTTAAAAAAAATCCAGTGTGTTTCACACAATTTTGTCTTTCAGGAGCAATGTTTCTTTATTGTATTCAAGATAAAATTAATACGAGCTCATCCTGTGCTCAGTCAAGGATCAATTCATCTGTTTTCATTAATATTTTATAGTACATCTTCATATATGATAGGTAATCCTTAACTTACAACAGTTGATTTAGTGACCATTTGAAGTTACTATGGCACTGAAAAAAATGACTTATGACCATTTTTCACACTTATGACTATGGCGACATCTTCATGGTCACATAATCAAAATTTGGATGCTTGGCAACTGACCTGTACTTATGAGAGTTGCGGTGTCCCATTCTGACAAGCAAACTCAATGGAGAAACCAGTTTCACTTAACAACCGTGTTACTAATTTACCAACAGCAGTGATTCACTTAACAATTGTGGCAAGAAAATTTCTAAAATGGGGCAAAACTCACATAACAAATGTCTCACTTAGTAGCATAAATTTTGGGCTCAGTTGTGGTTATACGTTGAGGACTATCCATACATGCGCATTGACATGAGTGAGTCAATGGGCTACATATGCAATGTTGCATTATTTTTCTTCCCACCATCTCTTTGTGAACGGAGATTCAATTCCACTTTAGCCTACGGCTTCCCTGTAAACCTGTAGCTGCTTCTTGGTCTGTATAAACTTTGTTTCATGCATTTTCAGGAGTCTTAGTGGTGGTGGAAACCCCAGATGGGAGCCTTTCAAAAATGCCAGCAGGAGCAAGGCTTCATTGGAAGGAACAAGCCTTCCAAGGTGGGGGTTGACACTAATGAAGGCTAATTTTGGTCAGGAAATTCTTCTTTTTCTTGGCAATCATGTTGGTGATCCTATTTTTATCAATAGCCACACAAAAAAGTGCTGCGGAATTTTGTCCAAACCAGTTGCTTAGATTTTTAAGCTCTGGTTACTCATCAGGAAATTACACCATCATATTTCCATTTATTATAGGCATATTACAATTAGCAGTGTTTTATTTGTAGGGCGTAGGTTATGGTTTTAAGTTAGTGTTTTATTCCTTCGTTTTTGTATCATAATCTTGCAAAAACTATGGATTCATGAAACATGTATCTGTATAAGTAGCTGCTTGGGTCATCTTGTAATACACATGTGGCTCTTTCATACCTTACAATAGGTTTAGCAATTCTTCTAACAGTAACATTTTGATTCTTTGTAGAACTGTCAATGCAGCAAAGCCTACACACACTCTCAGACATACACTAAAGGGCAATCTG